TTTGTTAGTGACACTGCTATTAATTCCTCCCAAAATATTTCCCCGTATTTCAAACACACTTATCCCATTATTTTTTGCCACTTTCTGAAGCAGTTCTTTATAAAATCTGATCAAAACTAGTTTGAATGCTGCTGTCACGTGATACGCAATGGCCTGGCAGGTTCTTAAGAACACTATGGTGCATCCACCCGCACGCCGTTATGCAGACCCGGCAGTCTCCCACTTCTGGCTCTCCCCCAAGTCAAAATGAGGTGAGAGGTAAACATTTTGAATCAAATTAGGACACTGAGGAAACCATGACTAGACAACTAAAGATACAGTGGGCCCTCTAGTGACAAGTGGCCTCAGGTACGAACAACTTGGGTTGTGACCTGAGTTTTAGGTTTAACTGAGGACCAGTCTTGAGTTATGAGCCCAACACCAGCTGCTTGTGCAAGTGAAGACTCGTGATGCCCCACACACGTGTTGGAGCACACAGGCGTCAGTCTGAGGCCAGATGTACTCGTCAGTTTTCATATAATGACTACAATTACTACTATCAGAGTGCCTCCCAAAAAGTTAGAAAAGAAACTAAGAAAGGAAGGGACAGTGACGAAAGCAATCACAATTTTAAAGAAAACTGAAGAAATATGAGAGTGGCATTCACATGAGCAATCTTGCTAACTTGTACAGCATGTTGAAGTCCACCATCCTGACAGTACTACAGAGAAAACATTTGTACAAGGAAGCTAGTATTGCTGAAGGTGTGACTCAAATTATTAAGTCCCCATCAGCAGCACTGGACAAGTTGGAACAGCTACTACCCGTGCAGATAAACAAAGAGCAGATGGCAAGTGATAGCCTCAGTCTATAACCTGTGAAAATACTGGGGCTACAGCTGTAGATATCGTACAGAATAACCCATGAAATGACAATGGTGAAACATTTCATGCCAGTAAGGGCTGGATTAAAATTTTACAATGAGACTGGGTTTATTGCACCACTAGGCATGATAAAAAGGGCTGCCAAAAGTTGCATGCACGTCAAAATGATGACAGAAAGAAAGGGCTTTTGCTCTCACCAATTTTCAGCTGTGAGGAAACCGGCCTTTTCTGAAAGAAAATGGCTGAAAGAACATATATTACCCAGGAAGAGAAGAAAATGCCAGGCCACAGCCTATGCTGGACAGGCTAACTTTACTACTATGTGCCAATGAGTGGTGACCCCAAAGTAAACTCTCTCTTGGTTTATCACCCCGAGACCCTGGAGGAGATCGCTGTCACTCATGCACAAGATTTAGAAGAATTGGCTGAAGAATTCCCATAGCTACCAGCTGAGTTGCTCCCACCTTAGGCACTCTTCTACGCCACCTATGGACCAGCAGGTTACAGCTAACTTCAGGAATCTATACACCAAACCTGAAGAACTTCCAGATGGTCCCAGATACAGGTTTAAGTCTTAAAGCATTCTAGAAGAAACATTACAACATCCTTTCCAGTGTGTGGTTGAGAAATCTTTGGCCAGGATCTAAGGATTCATATCTGCCTAGAAAAAAAGCATGGCCTAAAGTCATACAGGTGACTTAGAAGGCCAGGTAGAGGAGCCTGAGCCTTCAATTTACCCTGTAGTTGATGATACTGTCGCCATAGCAGAGTCCACAGGCCTACAGGTAAACAGTGGTGAAGGTGAGGAACTGGGGGAGGAGCATTCAGACAAATCATCTGTAGAGGAGCTTCCGCAATTTCTGGCTGAGCAACAGAGTGGCAGCTGATGAGCTTCTGAAGAAGAGGGAGAGCATCAGCAATCAGTGCAGCAAAGTTTTCCTTCTGAAATAAAGGAAATCATGAGAAAGTGGCCAGAACTACAAAATTTATAGAGAAGACCCACCCAGAGAAAAGCCAATCAATGCATTCACTTGCTTAATGACGTCATGTCACGCTACAGAACAGTGTTAAAGAAAAGACAGAAAATGACAACCTTAAACCAGTTTTTAGTTCTGAAAAGGTTAAGACCTAGTAAGCCCGAAGCACATCCTAGTGGGTTACTTTTCCCAGGTCAGAAAAGACACCAGAGGGGGTAGGGAGGTAGCTCAGTAGAATAAGCGCCTGCATGGCAAGCTCAGGATCCTGAATTCAATCCCCAGTACTGAAAAAAAAAAAAAAAAAAAAAGATTAGAAAGGACACCCAGAGGGGTCTTGCGGGTTAGTTCAGTTGTTTAAAGCACCTGCTGGGACAAATTTAGCTAGGCACAGGAGACTGTGGTTCGATTCCCAGCTCCACATGCCACACCAGACATGCCCTTAAGGCAGCCTGAGCCAGCCAAAGGAAAAGGAAAGGAAGGAAGGACACCAGAGAGCCAGAGTCCTTATGTGCTTATGGAAGGGGACTTTCCTTCCAAACAGTAACCACCTTCCATTTAATCCTCCCTTCCTGCACACTAAAGATGTCAACTGGATGGTAAGCACAGTATGAAATTGTTTCTGGTAAACAAATACATTTTATACCTTTTTGATGAATATACTAGGAAAATTATTGGTGTTTCTAGCAAATTATGCACGTTATACAACTCTTTTATCATGAGGTTAGTTAAGGGGTGCTTTGGGAGGTCCGGAATACATTATGGGTATTTCCCTATTTCTTAAGAGAAAAAGTTTTGATTACAACCAACATGAGTTGTGACCAGCTCTCATAAATGAATGGAATTCCTAAGTCAAGGGTCCACTGTTCTTACAGAAGAGGATGTCTACAACTGCTTCAGAAAGTGGCAAAAAACATGGGATACGTTTTTCCGAAGTGGAGAAGTATTTGAGGGGGACTGATGGTTATGTCCTTTAATGTACAATTTTTTAATTCAAACATTCACTTTACCTTTCAATCAGACCATATATCACGACCTAAAATATGCTTTTCATGGATCCACCACCCTGCACTGAAATTGTTATTATTATTTCTAAAACTAGAAATTGTTATTAAAATAAAAAAAGAGAAAAACAAACTATAAGCTTTGGAGTTAAAGAAAACAGTTCGTGACCATTAAGCACATATCCTATGTATATAACGCAATGATTTCTCTTTTGACCACAACGTATCCAATTTTATATGAGAACCAGTTATATGTCAACAGGGGTTTTTTCTGCAAGAAAAATATACTTGTTTCTCTCTGACTCATGACTATTACTTCTAAACATTTTTTATTTTTAAATTATCAAAATACAAACAAAACCCTGCACATGTGAAAATCATGATCAAACCAAAGTCTGATACTTTCCAAATACTGGGGAAAAGCAGTAAAAGTAATTATAATAAGGAGCTATCCTTATAATCCCCTAATTTAAAAGAAATCATGTAGTGTTCCCACACTAACCAAAAGTAAATTACTAAATACAGAGGGTAAGAAATAACTGACTGGGGGCCGGGGAGATAGTTCAGTTGAATAATCACTTGCCCGGCAAGCTCAAGGGCCTGAGTTCAATCCCCGGCTCCGCAAAAAAAAAAAAAAAAAAAGAAATAACCGACTAAAAGTTTGAATCCCTCTATAAAATAGGGGGTTTACTAGCAAAAATCTAATAAACATGGTAAATGAAAATGTGGCCTGGAGCGTTCACAAGCTTCCCACTAACGTCAACCGACAGACCACATGACCACATTCAATCCAGAGGTTTAGCCCTAGGCCTTAGGAGCATCTCATTGTATACTTAATAAATTTACTACAAATTACCACTTTAGTAGTTAAATATATTAGCCAGGCATAGTGGGTGCATGCCTGTAATCCCAGCATTCTGGATGGGGTTGAAGCAGGAAGGTCCCAAGTTTGAGCCCAACCTGGGCAACTTAGATACTGTCTCAAAATAAAACTAAGGAAGGGCTGAGGACTTAACTCAATGAGAAGAGCCTGGGCTCAAACCAAAGTCACATATATTAGCAATGTTTGGCCTATAAAGTGTCTATATTTTAAAACTACACAAAATATTAATCCCACAAGTAATTTTTTTTTTTTTTTCCTGGCTGGCTCAGGCTGCCTGAAGTGCATGTCTGGTAAGGCATGAGGAGCTGGGGATCGAACCGTGGTCCGTGCTCCTGACTGGGTTTGCCCCAGCAGGCGCTTAAATAACTGAGCTAACCCACAAGCCCCCTCCACAAGTAACTTTTTTTTTTTTTTCTCTGAATGCCTTCAGGGCAGGTTTGGCTGGCTTGAGTTGTGGGGATTGAACCACAGCAACCTGAGCCTGACTGCTTTGTTGAAGCAACCACTTAAAGAACTGAGCTAAGGGGCAGGCCCCCTCACAAGTAACTTTTAATAAGATAAAAATCTTTTAAAATTCTGAAGCTGTAGGAAATCAGGCTTGTGCAGTTTATGGAGACAAATTTAATGGAATTTTAAATTATCAAATCTTTTTAACCCCTCCCCCAAGCAACATGAACACACATTCAAACATTTCTGTAAGGTAGGCCAGTCAAAATCAGCAGGAACAGTTGGTTGTTCCTCTCCTTCATAATTCAGTGAGTCCATAACATCCTCTTAGCCAACAAGATAGGTGGCCTACATGGTGTCAGATATAAAACACCAATATAGAATTCATCCAAAAGCTTGAAATATCAGAAGGGAAGGCTTCCTGCATTTGTAAATCAATGGCTTTGGATGGGGAGGTACTTGAAGATACCATAATATTTTAAAATCTAGAGTAAAAGGGAAAACCTATTTGTAGCAGTTCTTAAAACTCACAAGTTATAATGTAAAACAAATTTGCCATTTTAGCTGGTTTTCAATGTTCATACATGCTAATAAATTACAAATATGTATATCAGTGCAACATCATCCAAAAGAAAATGATGTAAAAATATTTATGATAAATAATTTTATTGCATTTAATGCCATTTTCTTGAAAACCAAAATCAAATTCTATAACATATCAAACAAACAAGCCTAGTTCAGATTAGAGAAAAATGCTGACACCAAAATGAGGAAATGAAAGCCCTCCCTACAATTTGTCTAATTTAGGTCAGGTCACATGAAAACAGAAGGGTATTAAAATTATTTATTTTATAATTATGAACACTGAAGGAAAGCATGATAGCAGGGTTCTTTTTTCCACCATGAAATTATACACATTTAGCTAGAAACACTAGCTTCAGAGGTACCAGTATATCCCATTTGTAATCATTTCTGGACAGCAAACAATCGTCTTATATTTGGAGTACGTTAAGGAAAATAACACCTCCCAAGTCTTCGCTGTCCCTTTGAGCTCAGTCACTGAGAGCCCAAGGTAAGGAGGGAGAATCCGCGTGTCCCGGATGGCTTGATGAAGGCGTTAAAATCAAGCAGTGTGTTTGCATCCTGAAAACACACTTCAGTCCATACAAGCGTCGTGCGGACTGCAGAGCTGATTTCTCCTACTGGCACTGTGACACTCGGGGCAGGCTGCTTATGAAAGCTTTACACCGATTTTGTTCTGCTCCTTCTTCATCAGCCTCTGTGCTTCCTTTTCCATTTTCTTCCTTTGTTGCTCCGCTGCTCTCTTTTCTCTGTCTGCTAACTTCTGTTGCCTGCACAGAAACACGCTTGTTATCTTTCAGAAAATACCACACAGGTAAAATGGTGGAAGAGTTCCAGGAAAAAAGAATCATGCCTTTTTCTTATCATGAAGTGAATATCTAAGTCTTAAAGCTTCTCACTGGTTTTTCAAAGACTTTCAAAAACAGTATTCCTGATAATCCTCAGAACTGAACCTACCAAACAGAGGCGGTATTATCTCTACTTCTCAAACGCACACAATGACACACCAAGGCTATGTGATCTGCCTAAAATCATAGGATTAAGTACATGGGATAAGAAGCCACATCAGTGTGCCTTTTTCTTCAGATTACATCCTCTTAAACACCATTACTGGGCACCACAGCTTTTTCTCTGGGGGTGGGGAGGGTACCATTCTTAAAGGCTTGACACTGAGGGTAAAATTGCCTATTATAATAGTTCAAACAATCAGCTAAAGGATGGTAAGAACATAGTTGTGTATAAGACACTCACACACAGCTTCCACCTACAAGCTAGAAATCTATTTAGGATTAACATCTGACCAGACCTACTAAACACCAGAGTACTAATTCCACGTTATATACACACTCTTAACCCCTGCCACAATTCCACCAGTCCTGAATCACAAAACCTCTCTGTTCTTAGTGACAATGAGCTGGGGTATGGCTAGAATGATGAAACAGAAGAGAGGAGAGGCTCAACACACACTGGCCCTAAATCTGAAAGGTCAAAGTATGAGAAAATAATTCAAAAAATATGCACAGTGGAGGAAGTAGTAGGTTACAACTGGAAATATGACAGGCAGCATTAGGTTCTATGCAGTAAAATGTTACTATAGAGGGTAGCATTTGTACAAATTAAAACTGAACATGAAGATCAAGGGCTCTCAATCACAATATCAATAAGTAGTTACCAATAACCAAAATTCAAGAAAACCACAAAACTTATTTTTGGCACCATTTCGACATTTGCCATCAATTCTTTAAGTTTATAAAGAACAAAAAAAAATCTAGTTTTCAACTAGCTCTGCCTATCTACATGAAAAATTGATCATTCACACTAAAACACCTAGAATTCTAATAGCATAAAAGGAGATTTAAAAACAAAACTAGGTTATAAACAAGGTAATCAAGTTTTTATCTGGTTATTAGCTCAGCAACAAATATTCCTGGCACAAGAAGAAATTTAGGTTTCCCTGAAGACAATGTTTATATACGTATTTGTGCAGGTTCATGCCTTCATTTGCTAATGTATTAGAATCTTCTACCTTTAAAAATAATAATAGTATTGGAGCATTTTACAGTGGTGCTTGAAGAAGACGGATAATATGAACGTGGACATACTTAACAATGCTTAGTGTTATTCTGGGCATACTAATAACATACTTCCGTATCCCTGTCTGCATTGTTCAGCATGCAGCATGTCTGTGGGTTATTACCAATCTCACTCTCCCAAGCCATTTTAATGCAAATGTATCTTTCACTTCTGTTTTGTTAGGGACCACAAGAGTGAGACAGAACAGAGGTTTTCATCATACACTCAACATTAAGATGTTTGAGAGCTCACAGTAAACTTTCCAGCACTGTCATTAAGAGTAGTGACTCAAAATGAACATCTCTTTCCTTTATCTCTGAGGCTAAAAACATTAGTAATCACTAGAATGCCCCAAATTTTCTAAAACACTGACTTATGTATCTGTGATTTTTAAAAAATTTGTATTTATTTATGTATTTTATGTATTTAGCACAGGGTCTACAGGGTCTCACTACACAGATCGGATTCATAGTGGGCCTCCTGTTTTCAGCCTCCCAAGCGCTGGGATCGCACGTGTGCGCCACCACACCCAGTCTCAGCGGCCTTCTCAACATGGCCGGGGGCGGGGCCAGCACAGCACACCAGGGATTGAACCCTGGTCCCTACGCCTGAGCTATCTGGCCAGCCCTCTGTGATTTTTTTAAAAGAGTATGTGTCCTTTTTTGATGCTCCTTGAATAAAATGTTGTAGTTCGCAATTTTTTAACAAGAAATAAGTATTAAAAAATCTCACAACTTTACACTTTACTTTCAAAACAAAACAAAAACACATGCTAAAACTAGATAAAATGAAAAATAAAAAATCACCCATAACTTCCAGCTACTTAACTGCACCCTCTGCTGGCTGTTAAAAACAACTGTAATTTACCAACAAAGCCCAGAGAGCAAAATACAAAAACGAAAGACAGATAAAATAGTTAAAATTACCTTACTTTTAAAATATAAAAAAAATCATGTCACTGCATTTTACTCTTTTTAAAAATACATAATTTAGACATTTATATATAAGTTTTTATCAATGTCATAAGATCTTCATGATAAATTTTTTCTTTATGCCGACTTAATATACAAGTAGCAAGAACTGTTTATTGCTCACAGAAGCAAAAATAACTACCAACAAGAACAAACCCTAAAGCCTGCTGAGTGACGCTGATCTTACCGTTGCTCGAGACTGACTTGCGTGGCTCTCCTGCACATCCATTAAGGTGTTTTACAGATGTAGGTGCTACGATAATTTGCACTCAAATAGTGCTGGATCTATTCTAACCCATGAGAAAATGAAAACAAAGTTATAACTTCTGCCCTCGAAGAACACACAGTGTGGCGGTAGCTCCCTTTCATAGGAGGACATATCATGACTGCAGTATAGCATTTATGTAAAAGATTTTACATGCCATTAACAAGGTTATTCTTTATTCCCTATAATTTTTTTATTCTTAGTCATATAAAATAGCAAATGCAGTCTGAGAAACAGAACAAGTCCATATTATCTACAGATAAGTGATCTTTCACCTGACAAAGAAATAACACTTGGCAGAACTGCCTGCCCTGACCTTAAACGCTACAGGAAACGATTCTCGGTGTTCTACTCAGGTTATAATGTCAACGTCACACAATACCTCAGAACTTCTTCTGCCTGCCAGGCTGCATCTTCCTCCTCTTCCCATGCATTGGTATTTTCTTGCCAGGTATCCAAGTCACCTAATTCAGACTACAATGAAAAATAAAGCGAAAGTAAGACAGCAGAAACTTCCTTTCTTCACAAAGCAGTCAAGAGTGTCTTTAAAAAAATGCAACTGAGAACCGATCACTCTCCTGTGCTTTCCTAACTTCCACGCTAAATTCTATACAGGCAAAAATGGTTTGGCTCCTGGTTTGCCTTGAACTGCAGGTTTCCTAAGGACTCTCCATGCAAAGAGCCCTGGGGAGGCCCTCCTTTCCTCTTGCATTGTATGGGGTATTCTTTTATACTCAGTTTTCTACTTTTGCTTAGTTTGGAATAGACAATAGATTTTCTTCCCAGTTCTCTTTTTAAAAGAAGGGACAGAGAAAAGGAGAGAAGAGACCAACTGGTCCTAGACCTAATTAGAAATGCTTGACTATAATGCGGACTGAGAAGTGTCCAAGCTAGCACACTCATCTTCATTTAAGTTTATAGAATCTGTATTTTTTCAGTGGTACTTCCAATCTGCACACCAGGTGACAATGACAAGTCAGGAAGGCTTACCTCTTTTGGAATATTATTTCTACTTCATGCTTCCTGTTCCATGTCCTAGATACCTGATCATCAGGTTGGTCAATACCTTTCCTATTTCCCAAGCCAAACCTCTAAATGATCATTTTTTTCTCCCAAGAGTCAGTAAAAATGATCTTCCTACAATATTCAGTTAGGTGTGAAAGTAGTAACACGTGCACAATGACTTGTACCCGTATGTGTGTACTTAGCCCTGCATGTTTTGGACTTTATTCCCTTGATCATATGCAAAATACCACTCTCTATTAAAAATTACTTCTGATTACCTTCTTTTCTATATATTTCTAAAAGCAGGTAATTCAAAGAGGCATTATTAAAGCAACTGAAAGTATAAGTGACTTGACATGCTGTAGCAATTAAGATTCATGACAAGTTGGTACAAGTCTTATTCGTTTGTACCTTTGTCAATACTGATATTACACTTACTGTTCTACCGCTGATAATTTATTAACACTTACTTTGAGTAGCTTAAAGAACAAGGTCAAAGTTTTCTTCATGTTACCAGGTTACCTATTTCTCATTTGTAAATTTTCCATTTATAATAGTTATTTATCCTTCTACTCAGATGTTTCTTGCTGTTATGTAAAGAAAAGTTTGATATGGCGCAACAGAGTGAGCGCTTGCCTGGCAAGCGCAAGGGCCTGAGTTCAATCCCTGGTTCCACAAAAAAAAAAAAAAAAGAATATCCAAAACAAATTATAAACCCAAGAACAAACTAAAAAACATAAAAGGTGACACAAAAAATAACATCACCAGTGTAAAAGGAGTTCCCACAATATACATAAGGAATTTCAGAAGAAAAATAACGTTTGGCTTAAAAAGTAATTTAATTATAGAATATTAAGGTATTTTTGGTATACTGAACAGTCAAGTTGATGATCACCCACTCTAATGCAATCAAAGCCTCTCTCAACATTTTCTGCTTGGGTGGAAAATAGGTAAAAATAACACTGAAGCCCTCTGCTCTGTTTCCTTTCCCAATCCTCTAAGTGGCTCTATGTTGACAACTTTACAATAAGCAATATTACAGTAACATAATTTCAGTTTAGATTTAAGCATTGCTAATTCTGTGGGCAGGACTGAACTAGTTTACTATTATGGATCAAATATATATGAATAAAGTTTAAAATCAAGAAATATACAAAAGAAAAAATTAGTATGAGATTACATTACTCCACGAAATCTCTATAATGTTACTATCTGTCACAATTATCATGTAACTACTTAAGAGTCATTGAAGTCTGTGATTAGGTGTATGACCACTTATCCACTATTATGCCTCCCACAGCAGACTGTATTCTTCTGAGGTAAGAATCTGTCTGTTTATTCACGTCTGTATTACTAGCACCTATCACAGGAACGGCTGTTGAGCAATAAATTCAAATCTAGCATGAACACGGATCTCCTGGGTACAAGGGCCTCAGAAGTTTAAAAAACATAAATAAGATTCATAGGATGGATAAATGTGGTGATTTAAAATATACCCTCAAACTCAATTTTCCTTCCCTTAAAAGGTGTCACCTAACTGCATTTAGGCCTGGATTTAGCGACTGGCATCTAAAAACCAAAGTCAGATGACCGACAATGCACCCTCGTCAGGCTATGTCCTAAGAACGCGCTGTGCTGCTGGCCTACCTCATGACCTAACTTGCTCTCTTGGGGCCCTTGTTGTGGGAAACCTGCAGTTACACCATCATGAGAACTAACAGTGCCATGCAGAGGCCCCTGGCAAGGCACTAAGGGTCTGTGCCCACCAAGAATTTGCCAGCCACATGAGCAAGTCAGCATCCAAAGATCCCTCCACTGTGAGCCATGGTACCGCCTTGGACACCCTGAGCCAGAGCCATCCAGTTTAGTGGCCCTGGACTCCAGATATACACAAACTATATGAGAGAACGTTTATTATGTTGAAAGTCAGTAAAGTCAGGTAGTTACAGAGTAGATCAATAATAAAAATCTAAGTCCACTTAAGTGTTGGTCCAACAGTCTAGGTGTGAGGGACAGATATTTGTTTTGTTTTGTTTCCTGGTACAGGCAACTAAAGTCAGAGCCTTATACAGTACTGAGCTACCTTCCCAGCACCTTATTTTTGTTCTATTTTTTATTTTGAGACAGGAGTTCCCTAAGTTGCTAAGTTATTCAGGAAATAACTCTCTTTCCTCAGCCTCTCAGTGCTGGGATTCCATGCGTGTGCCAACACATCCAGTGGCGTTTGTTTTAAAAACTCCAAAGCTGATTTCTCTGTGTTCCGAAGTTTGAGAACTTCAGGCTACTTTGTTCAGTATTTTTCAGCTTTAAAGAATTTCATTTTAAGTCAAATGCACTTCAAATAAAATCACACTTTAAATGTAAAAATACTCTGAGAACAGCATGCTGCTAGGCTGGCAATGCAGCTCAGAGAGCAGGCCCAGTGCCTAGTGTCTAGTACTGCCAAACAAACAAAGCCACAACACACTCTAACTTGCTACTAATATTAAGGTTAGTCACCTCAGGAGTGATCTTTCCCAGTTCTTACTTTTTTTTTTTTTTGGGGGGGGGGAGTGGAACCAGAGATTGAACTCAGGCCCTTGAGCTTGCCAGGTAAGCACTTATTCTACTGAGCCATCTCCCCGGTCCCAATTCTAACTTTTTAAATAGCACATTTTATCTCTCTTTCTTGTGTACAATGGGTTCCTGATCTTTATAATATCATAAAATGTCAGGATTGGTGCAATTTCCAGTTGACTTCCTACAAGCTGCTAAATATGTTTCAAAGTGACAGAACTATAATGTTCAATTCATTCAGAGTCTTGTCCTTTTCTTTTAAGACAGAAAACCCCAAACCTTTATTACTGATACCCCATTAATATACTTACAGATTGATGAATAAAAGGCATATCCTGCGTAGCTGCTAATCTACTGGAGAAACCTGTGCTACCATCTGGAATGCCAAAATTTAATGGCTCTCTTTTCTTAACAACGATCTGAAAGATTAATTCAAATAGGATTAAAGGGATATTTTGTACTGAGCTATATAAAAAGAAACAAGTGACTACTGCATTTTTTTTTTTTTTTTTTTTTTTTTTTTTTTTTTTT